TCCATGATAATAAGAGTGAAAGATCAGCTAATAGTTGTTTTGCTATTATTTTCCTTACACATAAATCTCAACTCTGTTATACCATTTACATTTTGTAGCAATAACAACAGCAAAAAGTTACCCTTCTTTGTTACTTGTATATATATATATATGTACATATTTATTAACATCTATGCATTTCTCTCACATACCTGCCTCGGTGTACTTTGCCCCTGGACGGGATGAGGAAATGAGCTCAGCAAAGTTAGGTGGTGGCCAGGCTGAAGGGGAGAGCTTGCCTGGGGTCAAGATCTGTGCTGGTGATGCCTCCGTGTGAGACCAATAATACATGAGGTCAGGCTGCAAATATAATAGCAAATAAGGTCTATTGTTATCGTGCTTTTGTGTTACATAATATAGTATTATACTATAGATATATATTGGTGAGTTTCTGGTCACAGTAACCTATTCTGCTTTGCATTCTCTGTTACAAAACCTAAGATCTTGTGAATCTTGTGAACCATCCCTATAGAAAAGGAGTTCTGAATACACCCAAATAAAACAATGTATATGCTTGATTTCTTCTGTGCATAAGCTATTAAATCTCCTGTGATAAATTTGGTACACTAACCAGTAATGGTTACTGGAAATTAGGGGGGGGAGTTCAAAAACACACATGGTTCCCCCCCCTTACCCACAAAAATCACACCAAGACCTTATAATTACCTTTACAAAATCTACACAACTGAAAACAAAATTCTCATATAAGGGAAAGTGACAATTACCCTAAACAGAAGCTCAAGAGGAGCCCCGGAATCCTCAATCTGCCGAATCACTCCTGCAGCTAGGAGATGCGTGCAGAACTGAGTGGCAAGGATCTTCAGGTCCTGAGGAGTGATCACATGCCGGAGGTAGTGACCCTCGCTGAAGGCACTCACAAACCAGTTGATCAGCATTTGGCCTGGTGGAAGGAGTCAGAGAATGAAATACAAACAAATGGCTGGTTTGAAATACTGAGCCTGAAACACAAGCACTCTGCCTGAATGAAAATCAAAAGGCTGGACTTGATTCTGGGCTGAATGAAAATTGCAAAGTTTAATCACAGCTGTATTAATATGTAGTTGTATTTATATGTTTGCATATGAAATATTAAAATGAGGTTCTAAAATACAAAGAAAAACATAATACACAATCCAAGGGTTAGCAAATGAGGTTAGTAGAAAAAAAAGGTTTTATCAATACTGGGATTTTTTTTTTTTCTAGTTTGAGATCCAAATAGTGCAGGCAGATTTCATTCTGTCTGGTTGGAAATCAAGTATCATAATGTTTCAGTATTACTACAAGTCTACCACAATTATATAAAAAGAAGAAGAAAAATAACTGGAGTTCTAAAGATAGTCCAAAGAAACCCTCCTTTCTTTTTCTTTTTTTTATGTGAGCAACAATTAAATTCATTTTCGTTATTTTTTTACACCTCACCTTCAAACTTCTCATAGATCTTGAAGTCGAGTTTTTCGGGCACAAACTTGGGCTTGACTACCCTCTTCTCGATGGTCGCGCGGTCAAGGGTCAGGCTGGCGACCTTACGCAGGACGTTGCTGTCGACCACGCCCACGTCTCCGCTGCTGCCGCTCCGCCGCCCGCGCTGCTCTGTGCCATTGCCTGTGGGCGGGGGAGAGAAAGGGAGGGGGTTAGTATTTAGTGTGAGATTCATGATGGGAGTTCAATATTGTATTAATGAAGAGGCGTTGATTATCTGAAAACTGGAGGTAACACCAAAGGGTATCAAAACCGGAAGGAAAAAAAAAAATTAAGCAAAATGACACACAAAAATATACATACTAATCGTTATAAGTAGGGGGAAAAACATTGAAAAAATAAAACACCCAAAACAATTAATCACCAAAAAAAGGAAGAAAAAAAAAGAAGACCCAAAAAGTAAGTAAGAAAATAATAAGTAATAAAAGTAAGTAAGAAAATAATAAGTAATAAAAGCAAGTAAGAAAATAATAAGTAATAAAAGTAATAAAAAAATAATAAGAAACCAAAAAGCAATCATTGCACCAACGCCGGCGACACTGACCATTACATTCCCTCTCGTTGTAGCTGAGGAGTTCACAGTCCTCGTCATGAGCACCGTAGCTTATCACCTTCATGATGACTTTGTGGAGTGTGACCGACCTCTCTGATACACATCCTCACCCTCACTGTAACCTCTATGGTCTTTCCTGCACTTTATTTATTTTTTTTTATTTTTTTTTCGTATCTTTTAGCTCTGTAAGCTCACTACTGTTCCTTTTTTCTCTCTCTCTCTCTTCCTTCCTTCCTCCTTTCTCTTCCTTTTTTTCCCTCTTTGTTCTTCCTTTCCTTCTTGTTTCTCTATGTTTTCCTTTCTTTGTTTCAATATTACAGGAAGACTGAGGTAAAAAACGCCTTTTCTTGAAATTTCAAAATATCCCGTTTTCTATCTCGGTTTCTTAAAAAAAAAAAAAAAGAAGACCCAAAAAGTAAGTAAGAAAATAATAAGTAATAAAAGTAAGTAAGAAAATAATAAGTAATAAAAGTAAGTAAGAAAATAATAAGTAATAAAAGTAAGTAAGAAAATAATAAGTAATAAAAGCAAGTAAGAAAATAATAAGTAATAAAAGTAATAAGAAAATAATAAGTAATAAAAGCAAGTAAGAAAATAATAAGTAATAAAAGCAAGTAAGAAAATAATAAGTAATAAAAGTAAGTAAGAAAATAATAAGTAATAAAAGCAAGTAAGAAAATAATAAGTAATAAAAGCAAGTAAGAAAATAAGTAATAAAAGTAAGTAAGAAAATAATAAGTAATAAAAGTAAGTAAGAAAATAATAAGTAATAAAAGCAAGTAAGAAAATAATAAGTAATAAAAGTAATAAGAAAATAATAAGAAACCAAAAAGCAATCATTGCACCAACGCCGGCGACACTGACCATTACATTCCCTCTCGTTGTAGCTGAGGAGTTCACAGTCCTCGTCATGAGCACCGTAGCTTATCACCTTCATGATGACTTTGTGGAGTGTGACCGACCTCTCTGATACACATCCTCACCCTCACTGTAACCTCTATGGTCTTTCCTGCACTTTTTTTATTTTTTTATTTTTTTTTTCGTATCTTTTAGCTCTGTAAGCTCACTACTGTTCCTTTTTTCTCTCTCTCTCTCTCTTCCTTCCTCCTTTCTCTTCCTTTTTCCCCTCTTTGTTCTTCCTTTCCTTCTTGTTTCTCTATGTTTTCCTTTCTTTGTTTCAATATTACAGGAAGACTGAGGTAAAAAACGCCTTTTCTTGAAATTTCAAAATATCCCGTTTTCTATCTCGGTTTCTTAAAAAAAAAAAAAAAAAATGTTTGCTTAACATCAATATAAATGTCCTCTCATGTTTCTTTCAGTAACGAAAAGACGAAGGAAAACGATAATCCTCTCTTTAGGTGAATATAAAGGCAGCCCAACTATTAGTAAACATAAAAGAAAATCAAACGGAAAACTCTTGTATAAAGACAAGAAACGGGATAATGTTTACGTACCTAACTAGCCAAAACAAGTAAAACATCCATGGAAATGAATAATAATATCAAACAATAATCCAATAATCTCTCTCTGTCTCTGTCTCTGTCTTTCTATTTCCCTCTCCTTTTCCCTTTCTCTTTCTTATTCTCTCGCTCTCTCTCTCATTCTCGCTCCAATAATCGTTGAAATGTAGTGTAATTAAAGATTATTTTTATTACAGTTTCAAACGAAGTACTAACCGTGTAATTAAGCTAAATAAATGAACTTCAGACAACAATCAAGTGAAAATATGTCTGTTGAAAAGATATATGGAAATGCAGTGTTCACTGCAACAAAAGGTGCAAAGGAGATATCTGGCCGATTATATCTTCGTCAAATATACATAAAAAAACATTCTCATTCATACTTTTTTTCTATATATATACTTTTATATTTGAAAGGCAACCTTCCATCGAATTTTCCTAACAGTTATCTCATTTTTTCCTGATTTCAACGTATTTACTTTATATACCATGTTCTGTACAAACATCCAATGTGGCGTTTGGCTATCAGTTTCCGTCACGACCAAACTCATGCAACTTTAATAAACATGGGAAAAATGATATAGCCTCGCGTTGCAGGAAAACCGCTTAACAATGCAAGCCCGACGCCCCCCAAAAAAAAGAAAAAAAGAAAAAAAAACGTAATGGAATAATAGTGGTGATGGGGTTTGAAAGAAAATGAATATGAAAGCGATAGCGGTGGTTGTGGTAGTCGTGATGGTGGTAGTGATTATGGTGGTGGTATTGATGGTGATGGTCGTGGTGATGGGGATGATAGTGTTGGTGGTGGTGATGGTGGTGATGATAGTGATGATGGTTGCGGTTGTGGTGATGATAGTGGTAGTGGTGGTGATAATGTTGGTGATGGTGATGGTAGTATTGATGGTGATGGTGGTAGTGATGATGATGATGGTGATGGTGGTGACGACGGTGATGGTGGTGGTATTGGTTGTGGTAGTGATGATGGTGGTTGTGATGGTGATGGTGGTAATGATGGTGGTGGTAGTGATGATGATGATGGTCGTGGTGATGGTCGTGGTAGTGATGATGGTGATGGTGGTTGTGATGGTGATGGAGGTAATGGTGGTGATGATGATATGATGATAATGATGATTCATACACCAAAAAAGAAACACATTTCATTAAATCAAATACACAAAATGTATGACTATATCTGTTTCGAAAACTAAACAAAACCGCAAAAGTGACGAAAGAAATTAGGAAGACTACGTAATTTTTTTTTCTCCTCTTCCCAATTTCAATACAAATAAAAGATCAAGTTAAGGGAGACATCACATCACATCACATCAAATTAGATTCATTTCATATCTTATCTATCTATTTTCTATTTTATTCGACAATAAAAAAAAAAAAAAACACTGAAGAAAATGGTCTCGAGGGGGAGACTTAAAACATAAAACAACAGGACATTAACCATATATCAACTACAT